TTGGAGCAGGTAGTGGCCCTTTTGGAGCAGGGTCCGGCATATGTTGGCATATTACTTGAAAATGAAATAATGCTGCATTGCTATTAAAGCCCATCCCTGTTGGAACACAGCGCCTGTCGCCTTTTTAAGACAGGATATATCAAATTCAACAAAGTAAACAGAAAAAAAAAACTTTTTTTTTAAAAATAAAGTTGATCTGCTCATCAGATAAAAAAAATACAATTAAATATGTCATACTGAGTTCTTATGGTACAGGATATTTAGTTTTATCAGCCTGCACTTCTTTAAAGGTATCTGCAGCAGCATCTAACGACCCTCACTGTTGTGGAATGTTTTAGTTCAGATTACAGTTATCTTTCGGGCAGCAGCTTCAAATATTGCGGTATCTGATATTCGCTTCAAAAATTACGATTCATTTTCGATGCGCTGGCGAAGTCACGATCGGATCATGGCGAGTTAACCCGTTGAGTGCGCTCCTTGGCATGCACCGACGCACTGCAGAGAAGCGACACCCGCGGAGCATACACCGCAGTCGCGCAGTGCTTTGTGCTCCGAAAAGGACGGTGAGGCTTTACCAGCACTACATCCAGAGTTTGGTGCAACTCAACTAGACTTCGTTTCAGCTTCAGTGCGAGCGCAGCCGAAGCTGCAAGCACGCGCATGAAGCTTGTAACGGTGCCCACACTGCACGAGCCCGTGCGCGAGTTAGGAATGCACAGCATTGGGCTCACGTTAGCTTTGACTTCGGTTGTAGCTAGCGCTCGGGAACAGGGCGGGCCAGCATTGAAAACATTTACAAGCTCGGCCTTTTTTCTTTTTTTTTTTTAAATAGGCAGCTCAGTGGGATGGTTCTTCGCTTAGCCTCTGCGGCTTTGGTCTCAGATGTTGCTGACGTTCCTTTCAATGATGATGATAATGCGCCCTCGCAGTTTCGGTTTGCGTAACAGTTGCGGCGCGGAAAATACCGCGGTACCGACACGCGCTCTGATAAGACTTCAGTTTCTATTTTTTATTGCTACATCTCATCTCGGCGCAGGCATGGCGCAATTCTTCGGTAAAATAACAATTTGGCACTACATGTAGCAGGATTGCGTCCTTGGCGCAAATTGGCGCAATTGGCGCAGCACTTCCATCACTGCAACTATCTAAAGCTTTATCTGAAATCGGAGCAAATGCTTTTCCGTCCTCCAGAAACAAAAAGAACAGTAAGCGACAGAGCAAAATATCACCTGAGCTTCCTCATACCGTATCCAAAGCTGAGGAAGTCGCATTTTCGAATGTGATGATCGACAGGTGCGTCCGCACACCCCTAAGCACCAAGATGGTGGTATCCACTAGCAGATCGGGGAACGGAGTGCTGATACTCTACTGTTTTGATTGCACTCGCTGTGTTGTCTGACTTCCATGAGAGCGACTGGAGCTTAGCTTCGTTGAATCGGGCGTCGTATAAAGTCAAATGATCCCGCAGAACTCTGTGCATTTTTATGACCGGATATTTTTTTTCTTTTCTTTTGAATTATGAAAAATTGGGAATGCAGCAAAATTAACCTCAAAATTTTTGAAAATCGAAACTTAACAAACATAAACCCTAAATTAAAAAGAAAGAAAAGAATCTTCTTTAAATTTACAAAATATAAACCTAAAAAACACACAACCCCATTTACAGCTAAGCTACCGTGTTTTGGGGTTTTATTTTCTTTTAATTCCAGGGTAGTTTCCTTGAGGTTTATTTTTTTCTCGCACATTTTGTGTTTTTTGGTGTCACACAAATAATTGACTTTTAACGGAGTTTTTTTGTTTGAAAAATATGGATATGACCGCGAGATTGTTTGATATCCAGGGAATGTGCACGTGACACAAATACTCGGAAATTATGTGCACGTGGTTGACACAGAGCCCAATTTCTGAAAAAGACCTTTCTTGGAATCGTGGCAAATCCAGCATACGCCAGGAAACCTAAGAAGGCCCCTGGGCGCATTGCCCTCTGTGTACGCCACATGGACTCCGTGATCTGACAAGAAAGCTTAAAAAATGACCGTCTCCATAACTAAAAAAAAATATTTTTTACAATTTTAAATTTTTTTTTTTTTTTTTTTTTTAAGAAAAAGAGGTTAAGAATTACTGCTGTCCGATCTGCTTTCAGTCATCTTGAAGAAGCAACCGAGTTGGTTTCAAAACATCAGGTTTCCTTCCGAGTTTTCATTGGAGCTATATTTTTTGGACTTTAATTCTCATCCAACCAGGTAGATTGCTGCCGAATGTGTATACTTTTCAAGAAAACATAATCCGGTACCACTCGAAGCAGGAAACGAGATAAGGAGTATGTTCTTGTAAGAGAGAAGCAGCCTCGCAGACAGATTTCTTTCTGTGAAGCTTGGGCTTTTCTTATTCAAGCCAAGCACTAATTCAAGGGTCTTTCGGTTTTCCCCACTGTAGATAAGACCAGTCTTGGGTAAGTTACTTTTAAAAAGTAATTCGTTACAGTTACTTTGAGAAAAAAGTAGCGAAGTTACCGTTACAGTTATCGAAACAAAAAAGTAACTCGTTACAGTTACTTTTAAAAAGTAAAGACGTTTCTTCTCAGTTACTTTTTTATAAAACAAAAGAAAATTAGGAAAAACTAGAAAACGCTTTTCACCAAGTTTATTTGCATAAAATTAAAAAGTGTGCTTTGTACTTCATATTGTAACTTAGCAGCAGTTGCTTCTCGAAATTAGTGTCTGAAAGTTTCCCTTGTTTGATAACGAACATGTCCCTGCCCTTGCTGAACAGGCGCTCGTCTATCGCGCTGGAGGGGATTGCTGTGTTGTTTTGCCGGAACAGGTTTTTGATTGCAGGGTAGGCGTTGAGGCAATAGAGTGCCGTCTTCGGCGGTCAAGGTGTTAGTAGCCTCCTCCACGTCAGCAAAATACTCTGTACGCCGGCCATGGTAGTTTTTCTTTGTACTTATCAACATTCATATTCTTGGTAGCACTAGCACATTGCTGGCTCGTTGACGGTTGCGCTGGGTTCATAGAGTCCCGGCAAGCCAGAAACAAACCCCACACAAACACCAGTAAATTTTGCCTCGACTGTTGACACTATACCGGAGTAGTGGCGCAAATCAAAATATGGAACATGTGCAGTGCGGAGTGGTGGCGCTAATCAAAATACGAAACATTTGCAGTGCCCTCCACGTGTATTGTTGTTTCACGTTTGATTCACCCGATTAAAAGCGTTTGCACAGAAAAAAGAAAAACCGCAAAACAGATAGTTCTTCAAGATACTGAGATGCAAGCGTTCAGTCACAAAGTACAAGCGCGTGCTAAAGATAACTACTATTTTTTTTTCACCAAATCTACACGTGGCTACATTCGGGTCGTGACCGGCGAGAAAGAACGTATTCACAAGTCTGTGCAAAAGAGAACTTGACACTCAAAATGTCGGAACAGACAATTTGGAAAGCGCAAAGAATGGCCAAATTGTACTCGTTCAGTGATATATTATTCATAAAAAACTGGGAAGTAACGACAAAAGTAACGTCGTTACTTCCATCGTTACCTCAGAAAAGTACCGTATTTACACGAATGTAGGTCGACCCTTTTTTCTATTTTTGAGAATCTGAAGTGGGGGGGTCGACTTATAATCGAACCAAAGCATTCCACCGCCGGCAAAAACAGCTGGCTGTACCCCGAGCATTACACTGTTTTGTGCGCTCATTTTACAAATCAATTATTTTTTATTTGTGCGAATGAGTATTAATAGCAGCGATTCGCAAAATAACCCGGATGCACGGCGATGAACAGAGCAATGGAACAGAGCACGGAGCGCCTGACTCCTGGGGGGGGTGACGGCACTTCTCGTAAGAGCCACTCCGGAGGCCGCTGGAACAGCCAGCCTCACGGCTCGCTTGGCTCGCTCACCCCGCGGCGCCGCAGCTTCTCTTCGCAGTTTTTCGCACGATTCACTGTCGCACATCGTTAGATCGAGTACGAGGTCATGCTGGTATGTTCATTTGTATTGAAACGCGTGATCGTGGCAGTTTCGGTTTTCGGTGCTCATTTATGGCCGTTCTTCACTCAGAAGCAACCAACAACTGCGCTGTTAGATGCAAGTTCGACCCGTCGGGGTGGGTGATGCTCCAGTGGAGTCTGTGGTGGCACGGAATCTTAAAGTGTTTAGGCAAACGAAGAAGCTTCCGCAGTCCAAGGTCTGGATAGATGGGGATGCCTTCCGGAGTTGGACGTCAGGCTTGCAACGTACGCCGCAAACGTGCGCAATCGGTCCCTACCTGTGACGTCCAACGCGATCGCCGAGCAAGCACGGAAGATGCGGTTGATCCCGTCATTTGCGAAGTGCGAGATTTCATTGGACGACGCCGACGACGTGCTTCGAGAACGTAGCAGTGATGACGACGGGACTGACATCACCAGTGCGGACGAGTTGTAGTCTAGTCGCGGAAGGAGTGGGAACGACAGTGAGCAGCTTCAGTTGTCCCGCCTCCAGCGTGAACTTCCTAGTTCCTATAACGCCTGGCCATCTCATACACCTCGCATGTGCATGCGCAGCCAAAGCACACCAGAAGGCATCGATCGCGTGTTGGAGGCTCGGCTTTCGAAAGAGATACTTTGCCGTTCTCACGTGTTTGCAATAAAATGCGCATCTAAAAAAAAAATAAAAAAATCTTTTTTTTTTTTTTTTTTTTGCTGGTGTGCGATGGGGGGGGGGGGGGGTCGAGTTACAATCGAGTCGACCCACAATCGTGTAAATACTGTATAGAACTACAGTTACAAGTTACATTTTTAAAAAAGTAACTCGTTACAGTTACAAGTTATCAAAAAGTAATGAAGTTACAGTAATGCGTTACTAGTAACGCATTACTATTTAAGACTGGATAAGACGGCTAGGAGGTCTATCAGAATATAATACAAAAAAAATGGAACCCGAATTATATCGCACTCAATGAAATCATGACTTCATTCAATAAGTTGACTGGAACCCCGCAGGTGGCAGCAGCTCACCCTTGGGCAGTCCGGACACCACGTGCAGCAGCGCTTCGGGGATGCCCATCTCGTCGATGCCGATGTCCGACGGGTGGAACAGCAGCTCCGGGACCATGAAGCGCTCGTTGTTCAGGCGGATCATCTGCACGCACGTTGGCCCTCGTCATGCACGTTGGCCCTCGTTCCATAGGGCCAGCGTGTATCGGTCGGAATGTGCGACAAATGTTGGCTCGCTTTTTTCGGTGACCTCAGCAGCGGTTGCTTGTGGGCCGGTAAAGAATTACTGTAAAGGCTTCTTTTGGCGAGTTTCGCAATTTGAGACGGTTGTAAAAAAGTAATGATGTAACTACATTACCCTGTGATGACGAATAAATGGCATAGCACTCCCAATGGCAAACTGCCGCATAGTGCGAGGACGCCGAAACAATACAGTCAAACCCGGATACAGTGTAGACCGCATATAACGTATGTCACGGGAGTCGCGAAAACCTGCACTATAAGCGGTACTGCGCTATAACCAAAACATCAATTTTTCAGGCTAAAATACATGCCATGAGACAACTTACCCTCGTAAAGCAATTTATTTTATGTTAGACGAAAAATAAAGCTTAGTCTGAGGAGAGTCCTTATTTCACCAGACTAGAACACCTCTCTCTCAAGTGTCACACATTTTGAAAGAAATGAGTGACTTTGCCAGGCGCAGCCTTTTAACGGCGTGGCAGACGACCTGGTCTTCGACAACGCTAAGGCATTTGAACACCTCATCACTAAAGGAGTTCAGGCTGGTTCAGACATCTTCAACGAGCGCGTTATCTACGACTGCGTCCGTTGCAACCGGAGAGACCGGAACGACCGTTCTGCGCCGCACACATGCAACCACTGCAACAAGCGCAGCGGGTCGTCAGCATGGCGACCGCTTCTACGCCGCCGTCAGCTGTTTCAGCGGTGCCTCTAAAAAAGGGATGCACTGCCACTCAATGCCATAAGCTTTATTATTATTTTTTTTTTCCATGATAGGCTTGCAGGGGATGAAAGAAAGAAAAGAAAAAGATTCAGTATGCTGTCTTGGACGATCACGAATCTAATACACGACTTTGCCAATAGTACAAATCTCGCTACACGCTACGATTATAAAAGACGATGTACCTAATCTTAGCAGCGATATAGCAACGTAGAAATACAATTTCGTGATCAGACGGACGTTGCGAGCGTTCAGGATTGCTAGCACTAATCACCTTTCTCCTGTGATGAAAGCGCGTGAAAATTGGCGTCCTTTATACGGTACGCGCTAGTAATACCTTGAACTTGAGCACACGCACGAAATGCTCCAAATAGGAAATCCGGGCGATGTTCGAGGACACAAATGCTTAGAAAGCACCACTGTAGTCAAAGTAAACAAACACGATGACACGGGCTTTTCTGCTGTCTTGAGAGTGCTGCCACGAGTGCTGCCTATGAACAAAATCAGTATCATCAGCACCACCAGAGCTTCGCCCCAATCAACATCATTCACCACGTGAAAATGTGGTCATTTTTTTTGTTGCTCATTTTATTTTGGGGTTAAGGAGCCGCACAGCGACAGCAGTGTTGGGGAAAGAGCACACGCTACCGTTCCAACAGTGGGCACTCCCTGCCCTCCCCACGTGTAAACGTGCCTTTCCCCTTGTTTTTGCCATCCTCCACATTTCTTTTTTTTTTTTTTGCAACTGCTTTTTTGTTGCGTATCTTAGTGCGCATATGCTGGCTTGGCAATGCGAGCTGTGCAATCCGGTGCAATCCAAACCCAGGAGAAGCGATGGGCGGTTGGGGCAGTGCTTTGTTAGCTACATCGAGTGTCCTCCCCATGGGTGTTCGATACAGAAGAACAATGCTCCTATACTACAGTGAAACCCGTTTATAACGAGCAGGAGGAAACGCTACGATCAGTTCGATATAGCAAGTAGTATAGCAATATAGCAAAAAACATTTACAACAAACTTCCACGATGAGTTCGTTGTAAGGCGAGAGCCTTCTCTTTCTTTCTCTTCTCTTCACTTCCACCTTGTAACAATGCCCCGGAAAGATTTTTTTTTTTTTTGCATGCGTGCAGAGTTTGTTTTTTTAGCTTATCTCCTTTTCTAATTCGCTTCTGTTCGCTCAATTTCGTTCGCAACTTGAGGTGTTGGAATTTTCTTTCTTTTTTACTTCATTTTTCGGAAGAAGTGACAGGCTAGAAGACAATCATTCGTGCATTTTTGGAAGCCTTACCGGTGAGAAAGAGTTTGATATAGCCAATATGTTTTTCGTTATAAAACATACTTTTTACATGCATCCTTATTTAAGTTTTCCGCGAGTTCGATATCGACAATAATTCGCTATACGTGGGTTCGTTCTAGACAGGTTTCACTGTATTACATGCGATTTTCAAGGGGATGCTTGGGCTGTTTGATATAAACAATAATTCGAAATACCCGGGTGTGATATTCGCATTCGGTGGCATTCGAAGACTGTCAGAACGAGGACGTTACAGTTCCGAATAAATAAAGCCCGAGCAAGGCCCTGCAAAAGAGTGACCTAAGGGTGCGAGGTGGAGGTGCCACTGCAGAGTGCCGTGTCTCAAAGAGTGCAATAGGAGAGATATGTCATTGGCTGGAGGCATGCAGACATCGATTAACCTCGTGCCAATGAAATAGTGCGTCTTTCATAAACAAATATTCCTCACAGAGCATGCTACAGTGTTACAGAGACCAAAGTTTGCGTTCGGGATGCGTGAGAAAAAACAAAAAACACAATATTTTAGAGCAAGAAAAAAAAAACTAGGAGATTTATGTTGTAGATTTGAAAGTGGCTTGCCTGTTCGTTGTCTTTAGGTCGGCCCGTGGTTTCTTCGAGTGGCCGCACATAGCCTCTCTTGATCACTGTGTAGTCCGGGAGAACGTAGTCACGAGCCACGGTGTTTTCCCGGCCGTGCTTCCTAAAACCACATGGGGAAATACGACGAAAATCGAGGCAGCATTCTAACAACCCTGCCCGAAGAACTGCATGGAAATGAGCCTGCTTTCTGGCAGAAAAACATAATATTCCACAAGCTTGTTTCATTTACTTTAGTGACACCGGAGTATGCAAAGCCACCACAGAAGACAGGTGATGATGTGGGGAAAACAATGCAACCGACCTCACTGGAAGCTCACACATCTAGGACGCATCTTCAACAGGTCATGTAGTTAGGTATGCAGAAAGCTGGCATGTTCTGCTGATGGCCAACATTCGTCTCGATGGAAGACGGGCCCCCTCAAATATGAATCAAGAGGCTCACATTGTTTTCTCCTCTCCTTCAATAGTGCCATCGCCTTCTGGAATGAAACACATTTTTCATACGCGAGGTGCATCAATACACTCGACTCCCGATAATTCGAAGTCGCTTCACTGGAAGTGAGGTGAGGGTCCCATCAGTTCTGCATGCGATCCTTTGAAAAAAATGCTTGATAATTGGAAGCGAAAACTCTAAAATATTGGATAATTAGAAGTTGATTTTTAATAGAAAGCCTCGAGGCAACCGTAATATTTGATAGATTTGCAAGTTTTAAAGTGTAAAAACCGCTTTGTGTACTGCACAGGTATTGTCGGCATCGCAGCCGACCACAGCGCCACAGCTCATGAAGTGGAAAGATTAAACAGTCAAGACTGGCACAAGCTGCACGTTGGCACAATGGCATCATTTCTGTCTCTTTCCGCGTCTTTCCTCGAGTTGGTTCGGGAGTCAATGGGCTCATTCCACAAGTGGTTTCACGTGCCGCATTTCGGCTGCAGTCGCGACAATGACAACTCGTGGATCGTATCGCACGCTTGACTTGGCCACGAAAGTCAAGATTTCGAAAGAAGTTGGTTGAGAAAGGAGGCAATGCCAAGCAAGACATTGCACAGAAATATAGCATCAAGCCTAACACTCTCTCAAATTTCATCAAGAACAAGTTCTCGATACTGGATGCTTTTGAGAATGATCAATTCAAGATTTCTCGAAAGAGATTGCGCACCAGCGCCCACCCGGAGTTAGAGCAAGCACTGCTCTTTTGGATTAGGGAAGCACGAAGTAACCAACTTCCCCTCAGTGGTGATATTGTTGCAGCGAAAGCCTTGTCGCCTGCAACAATGTTAGGGATTGACAACTTTGTTTCTTCCGATGGACGGCTGACATGTTTCAAGCATCGTCATGACCTCGTTTTTAAAAGCGTGAGTGGAGAAAAGGCATCAGCCAATCAGGCGCGACGTGGAAGGAAGAAAAGCTCCACAAGTACATGAACGACAATCAGCCGGGAGATATCTTTAATGCCGACGAGACCACACTTTGTTATCGGATGTTACCACAGAAACCTCTGACATTCAAGAACAATGATTGCGCTGGAGGAAAACATAGTAAAAATAGGGTGTCTGTTTTGATTGCGGCCAACATGTCTGGCACTGAACAATGTCGTCTGCTAGTGATCGGAAAGGCCGCTAAGCCTATATAATTTAAAGGCGTCGGAACTCTTCCTGTGGACTACGCATCCAACAGGGAGGCATGAATGATGTCAGACATTTTCCAAGACTGGCTTAAAAAACTGGATCGCAAATTTGCGTCATCAAACCGCAAGGTATTGTTTCTTGTGGACCAGTGCTGTGCCCACATTAATGTGCCGTCCCTGAGTGCCATCGGCCTTGCTTACTTGCCAGCCAAAATGACACTGGTGTTGCAACCCATGGATTAGGGAAATATAAAAAATGTATAGGTGTTGTACAGAAAACATCTTCTCAAGCGGATGATACAGTGCATGGATAACTCCCCTCAGTACGAGGTAAGCCTTCTTAGTGCCATCCACATGCTGGCGCGAGCTTGGGGTCGCGTTAAACAAGAAACCATTGCCAACTGCTTCAGGGCCTGTGGTTTCATAGCAAGGGCTTCAGGGGGTGATTCGTCCTGTTCAATGGTGGAAGTCGAGACAAGTGAGCTTGACGACAATGGTCTGGCAGCAGCTCTCGGCAACATTCGTTTTCAAGAGGTATGTTGCCGTGGACAGCACAGTGGAAGCAAGCGGTGCGCTGACGGACACTGAAATTATTGAGATTGTTCGGCCACGCGAGGCTAGCAACGAAAGTGAGATGGACGACGACATTAAAATTGACCCGCAACCGCCGGCTGCTGATGTAGCTGTGGGCCTTGCCCTCTTGCAGCGGTTTTTCGCTGCAGAGAACAATGCTGAAGAAGTACTCGGGCACCATCTAGACACTGCAGAGCTTACTTTCTCCACCAAGATTCAGCAAGAAGCAGAAGACGGCAATCACCGATTTTTTTTTCCATAAAAAGTCAGTTTTCAAATTAATAATAAATGACCCTTTTTGTTCCTTGTGGTTAATTGGAAGTTTGTTTAATTCAAAGTTTTTCGCGGTCCCCTTGAACTTCATATTAACGGGAATCGACTGTATATACAGGTGTCACGGGGTTCTTTGGGGTTAGTAATTGACAAGATTCAATGTCCTTCGTTTTTCTTAAAACATGTATTTACAAAAGAAATCAAAGAGTTCATATGGATATACTAAAAGAAATAGGAAAACTTAGTAAAAAAATGGAAGGAAGGAAAACGCAACAGTCTTTGAGTCACCATGCGCAGCAGCGGGTGTTGTGTCTGGGGCTGTCGTTGTCGGCCGACGGTTGTGGCAGGCAGTCAGGAGCGGGTGCGGTTGGCTTCCGTCGGCGGTCTCAAGAGTCACCGCAACCAGTGCTCGCGCAGCAGGAAGCCGGGCAGCGTAGGTTTCTATGCGCTGCCCTCGCTGGAACAGGCTGCTGGTCAGCAGTAGGAGGCCGCCGATTGCCCTGGCCGATGGTGTCGTTCCACTCTCAGCACGTTCTCTTCGGCCCGTCTTCTTCCACGCCCTTTCTGGGCCGATCCATGAATTGACTTGCCGTTCTTCTTTTCCATCTTCTTTTCCACATTGAGTCACATCATCACAAGGAGCCCCCCTTTAAGTTTTTTTAAAGTATTAAATGAAATTATATACACAAAAAAACCAAGACCATGATGATGTGCGCAAGTTCATTGCAGCCTACTAAGATAGTCCGCCCCCACATTCTCACTGCCTTTAATGTACTCCACGCGAAACGAGTACTCTTGCAGCATCAGACTCCAGCGTAACACTCGGCTGTTAAGTTGTTTCGCCTTATTTAGATATTGTAGGGGATGGTGGTCCGTCTGAACAACAAAATGCGTCCCATACAAATACACATGGAACTTCTCTATTCCCCAGACCAATGCCAGACATTCTCGTTCTATCGTCGAGAATCTTGACTCTCTAGGCAACAGTCGTCTGCTAGCATAACCCAAAGGGTGCAAGACTCCCTCCTGCTCTTGCATCAGCACCGCGCCAATGCAGCTCTCGGAGGCGTCAGTTCTCAAAATAAATTCCTTCGAGAGGTCCGGTACCCGAAGAATCGGTGCTGCAGTCAGGGCGTCCTTTAACTTAGTGAACACCTTTTCTCTCTCAGAAGACCACTCGACATGGTTTTTCTCCCGTTTCCTCGTTAGTTCGATTAACGGCCCGGCTAACTCTGCGTAGTTGGGGATGAATTGGCGGTAGTATCCTGTTAAGCCAAGAAAGGCCCTAACTTGCTTCTTACTCTGGGGCCGTTTCGCGTCCTTTATCTTTTCCAACGTTTCCAAACGAGGCTTTATCTCTCTGTTACCCAGTTCATGACCCAGAAATGTTATTTTCCTCATACCGACTTCGCACTTCTTGGGTTTTACAGTAATACCAGCTTGTCGCATTCTCTCAAAAACCTGCTTTAACGTCTCCATATGTTCTTCCCATGTGTCGGTTGCTACGAGCACATCGTCGATGTAGTGTTTAACACTTGGAATGTCCGAAAGAAGCTTCCTCATTAATCGAGTAAAGACGGCTGATGCGGTCTTAATTCCGAAAGGCATAAACCTAAACTGGTACAACCCGGACTCTGTTGAGAAGGCTGTCTTCGCCTTAGAATCGTCTGATAACGGAATTTGCCAGTAACCTTTGGCCAAGTCTAGCTTGGAAAAAAAAACTTTCGTTCCCACCTCAGCCAGTATCCCATCAATCCGAGGAATCGGTTCGGCATCTTGTGGCAAGAGACTGTTAAGGCGACGGAAGTCGATGCACACGCGAACACTACCATCGGCTTTTCTCACCAAAACAAGAGGAGAGCTGTAGGAGGAATTAGACCTCTCAATCACTCCGAGTTTCAACATCTCTTGAACCTCCGCCTCGATTACCTCCCTCATTGCGAAGGGAATCGGGTACTTCGGTGTTTTCACTGGAGTTGACGACACTAGATCTAAACGACATTCCAACAAGTTCGTCTTACCGGGTAGGTCAGATAACACCCCGTCGAACTCGTGGAGGAGTTTGTCTATCTCGGCGGCCTGGTCATCATTCAACAAGTCTGATCGAATAACATCTTCCGGTCCCTGGGTCCTCTTCACGCTCATGCATGGAAGTTCCTTCTCCGTAACACTGTCCTCGATTGCTACGAAAGAATTCACTTGCATTTTACTAGTTGAATCTACGACTCGTTCTTCGTACCGCTTCAGCATATTAATATGAAACAGCTTTCGAGCGTGACCCAGATCGAGTACATAGTCCACTTCGTTCTTCCTTTCCAACACCGGAAAAGGACCCTTCCACTGCATTAACAATTTATTTTTGCTAGTGGGCAAAAGTATCAAGGCTCGGTCTCCAATCTTTAATTGACGGCCTCTTGCCTTCGTATTGAAATATTTTTTCTGCTTGCGTTGAGACTCCTGTAGTTTTTGGTGCGCTAACTCGGTCGTTTGTTCTAGCCGATCCCTCAATTCGAACACATATCCATATGTTGTTTTCAGATCTGAACTAATCTGGTCCCCGACCCATATTTCCTTTAACACAGAGAGAGGTCCTCTTACGTTGCGTCCATAAATCAGTTCGAAAGGG